TGAACGGCGGAAATATACACTGACCCTACCAGTGGCACTGATCCACAATGCCAGTATATGACAGAGTGTAGTTCATCTGCAGAAGCTCCTATTAGCTGATCTATATTGTATTGAACAATATTTGCTTTGAAAATTGCAAAACCAGATGCTTCAAATAACCCCATAATACTATATACAAACATAAGAAACACTTCAGAGGTATAGTAGAAGTGAGATATGTATCCTAGGCCAGTCACAATCCATGATAAAAAACACAGCACTATACCAATAAGTATTGCATTATACCTTCCAATCCATACATCAGCCAATAGCCCATAAAATGGAAAAGAGATAAATCCAATGCATATTATTGCAGCCATTCCATAAAGGAATGGCCCAGTAAAGGTACCAAGACTGAACTGTCTAATAAAATAATCATGAAGATACAGTACATAGTCCCAAACAAGTACGACAACAGCTGAAGAAGAAGAAATGATGAACAATGACCACCACTTCCTAAGCCAACTGTAGCCTGTTGCAGCCATTAGACTATCAGTTCAAGAATCACAAAATCCTTGTAACAGCATTGCAATGTATATTGACAGTGAAAATGAAAAAGTCATGAACACAATGTTTGTTAAACTTACATGAATAGACTTTTTAACTGTGTGTGCATTATATCAAAAGAAAATTGTGGACTTACTGTTATAAGTTTGTAAAGTAACTGGCAGTTATCAATATGAATAGTAGCAAAAGTAAGCCTTGTTTTTGCAAATTGCAAGAATACTTAACTACCTTGTCTAAATTTGTGCAATGACTGTTTCTGACTTAGCTACCTAAATGCTAAGCAAGCTATAGAAACTTTTAGCAAAGACTGAAAGAAAGATAAAAATTGTTACTTTAGAGTGAGCTATTTTGACAATCATGCATCATTTATGAATAAGCCACGAGGCTATACTTTCTTGTTAGTACTATAGTGAGTGCACCATATATGCTCCAACAGCCACTTCTTCCCCTGTTCTCTAGCTTTCAATGCAGAAATGATACCCTTCAATGAAACAATCTACAGTGCAACAAAATAATGTGTAGATTACATATAAAAATTCATCTAATCACAAACACAAGAATAGACTAGTCATTACATCATACTTATGGTAGTCTGCATGGTCCAATTATAAGCACCAATCAACTATACATAAATAAACAATATTGTATGAATGTAATACAGTAGTCATTAAAAGTTCTGAGGTGTAGAACAGTAGCCACAAATCACATCCCAATCACGAGGTCATTCAAAAACTCTCAGTAGATTAGTAACTGAACAGAGTGTAATGGGTTTGCCCTTATTAGTGTCAAGAATCATTATAGATTACATGTATGGTTGCATTCTCTATTAAGAGCTTTTAATCTTTGTAGGTATTAAAAATAAAAACTGAAAAACATAGCTGCAGCAAAGTAAGCTCAAAATTAAATATAAGGAACAGCAAGCAGCAATATTTCAGCACTAATTTTACAAGGAGTTAAAAGTTCTTTGCTACAGATAGTACATTATAATTATCAGCATCAGTAGTAACAGGAATAGTAACTGTAGAGCTACCTACACCAGGAGCTGATACCTTTACTACTATACCATCTAAATCAGGACCCACTGTATTGGAATCAAATATGTGTGTACGCTTTCCTCCATCTCTATCTATTTCTATCATACGGTCCCTGTATTTAGAAGTATGATCTTCAGTGACCTGGACAATAACTCTAGCTAATCCATGATAAGCACTCCTCCAGTGAGCTTGGTTGGGTTCATG